GCATCTTGGTTTTGTGCTTTTTGAAAAACCCAGTTTGCTGGACTCAAACCTCAGCAGCTGCCTATTCTCAGTAGTCAACAAGGCACATGTGGTCACCACTTTTGGTGTTGTCTCCCCGCTGCCACCCCCCCATTCTCTTTCTGCTTTTGAAAAAGTGCTCAGCCCATATCACTGTGACAAGTTGCATAGAGCTGCCTGACACTTCCTTCCCCTTTAATTAGCAAGTTTTCTACCCGTTTTGGTGATCTTTAAGATATTACCTAGAGGGCGCAACCTTATAATTTGGAGCAGGAGTCAATTTGCACACACCTGGCCACAGAGAGAATCGGGACTCCTGCGAGGGACTGAAGAAGAGCCAGTAAACGCCAAAGGAGAGTTATTTGAGAGGCCGAAGAACCAGCTAAATGACAAAAGGGAAATCTCTCATTCTTTTTTCAATCCCAAAGTGAGCTGAGGTAGGAAAGGCTGGCAGCCAGGAAATTCTGTTATTCAGGATTTCCCTGCTGGTCTTTCAGTAATGCCTTCACTGAGACCTCTGAGTCCATCTACCACATCGAGAAAGCACCTCATGCAGTTAATAAAAGGGCAGCGCAGAAAGGAAACAGAAATGAAATAGAAGTGAGAAAAAAAATGCTGAAAGGGTTTCCCCAACGCACACACCTCCAGAAAGGTTTCCCCCCACCCCCCACACATTGCTCTGAGTCATGGTTCACTGCAAAGCCCCACAAGCCCTTTTTCTCTCCACTGCAAAGCCAATGGTGACATCAGCAGATATCCACCCCTCTCTTTTCCACAGTTCTGTAATAGGTCAAGCAGAGTTTCAGTTAAATTGGCGCCGGAAGTGTCTCACCACCAGCGTGAGAAGGTGCTTTTGAAAGAAAGCACGACCCAGCAAGCTACCTTCCTCAACCTGGTGCCTTCCAGGTGCAATGGGACAAAACTCTGATCAGCCAAAATGGGCACAGCAGTTGTGGACTTCCATCAGCACCAAATGTCCTGGCTTGCTGGGAGGATGGGAGCTGGAGTCGAAAACATCTGGAGGGGAAGGCTGGGAAGTGTGATCTCAAGGCATGGCAGAAGAAGTTGCTGTGGGGTGGCAGGACCCTTCCTATCGGGTCCAGTGCCAAAGAAAGGGAGGGGCGATAAAGTTTTGAAGACTCCTGATTCGACAAGCTCCACAAGGGGAGAGACCACGGCTCACTGGCACTGCAGCTGCTTTCCATGTAGAAGTTCCCAGCTTTAGCTCACATATCTGAAGGCAGCCCTGTATCAGGAAGTTTTTAATGACTGGTGTTTCATTATGCGTGTGTGTGTGTGTGCGCGTGCGCACACACACACACACACACACACACACACACATACACACAGTGCTTTTTTCTAAAAAATGTTTAGGGGTACTCTCATTTTGACTCAGGAAAATCACCATTTTATAGTTCAAATCAGGAAAAATGAATACAGTAAATGGACAAAAGTACAAAGATTCACAAGATGTTTAGGGGTATGTGTACCCCCAGAAAAAAGCACTGCATATATGGGGCAACCCAGTCAGATGGATGGGGTACATAGGAGCCAACTCCTAGAGGCTAACGTTTCTTCACCCCCCAAAAAAATATTTGATGGGGCTCCCCCCCAGTTGATGAGCACTGCCATTCAAATGGTGTGTGTGTGTGCTGTGTCTTGTGACCGATTATGTGGGGCAGGGCTTACCTGGGTCCCCCAATATTCAAGCTGTCACTCCTGGTAGAGTATAAGTAATAAATTACAGTTTATTTACTTAATCCATTCTAGAAGTCCGTTCCAAAACCAAAGCATTCAAAAACCAAGGCGCGCTTTCCCATAGAAAGTAATGCAAAATGGATTAATCCATTCCAGACTTTTAAAAACAACCCCTAAAACAGCAATTTAACATGAATTTTACTAGCTAGCGAGACCATTGATCCATAAAATGAAAGCAATAAACAATGTACTGCAGTCACACAATCAATCAATCAATCAGTAGCTGAACTGGGTTCCACACAGTCACAAAAACAAAACAAAAAGAGCCGCAAAAACAAAATGCAAAATAAATAGCAAAAACAGACAGACCTCAGCATAACACTCAAAACCAGCGGTTCTCAACCTGTGGGTCCCCAGATGTTGTTGGACTACAACTCCCATCACCCCTGAGTTCTGGCCTTGCTAGCTAGGGGTGATGGGAGTTGTAGTTCAACAACATCTGGGGACCAACAGGTGGGGAAAGGCTGCTCAAAATGGAAGCGTGGTACTCAAATCAGAAGTGTAACACGCAAAACGGAGCACATTTGGCTTCTGAAAAAGCTTCGCAAGCTGGAACACTTGCAGTGTTTAGGTTCCAAGTTGCTTGAGAACCAAGGTACCACTGTATTATTTTATTATTATTCACAGAAGCTGTGCTTAAAAGGCTCTGGGTGATGGGAGAATCCTTGGCCTCACAGCCCAGAGAATGGCTGCTAGTCAAGAGTTCTGGGTTACAAATGGACCACCAACAGCCCGACCTATATAAGGCAGTTTCAGATGGGTAGATGGATAGATGAGATAGATACATAGATCTGATATGAAGGAGGGAGGGGGAAAACATTGCACCAAAGGGAAGCTGGTGATAACATACACCATGTGAGAGGCTCTATTGCCTGGTCTGATCAGGCACTGAACCCTCCAAAGTCCAAGGCTGATGTCACAACTGACGTGGCGACTCCACCCCCAGTGGGATTTCTTTGCAGCATGGATGAATCAGTCCATTTCAGTTTCTCACAGTGTCTCGTTTTTCCAGTCTAAAGTTCAGTTTATCACATTTGCAAATCGATTTGTAATTTTTAAAAAAAGTTATCACAAAGAGATTTTAATACTTTCTTATGCAATTATACACAAGACAATCATAGAATTATAGAAATGTAGAGTTGGAAGGAACCACAAGGATCATCTGGTCCAACCCCCTGCAATGCAGGAATCTTTTGCCCATTCATAAGCAGTTCCCCCTAATATAATGCCTTTCAATGTGTTACTTTCCCCAATAAATGCATTATTATGCACACTTCCACCCTAGCTTCCGCACTTTGATCCAATTTTAGGGAGCATCCCATATGACAGTTTTCCAAAACTTATGGGTCTGCCTAAGTATTAGCTAGCCTTCATGTAACCAGTTGGCTAACCAAAATATGCTTTTGGTTAGCCAAAATATGGTTAACCAAATAACATTTTTCTGAGATCAATATAAATCGCATCCACGATCCACTAAACAACCTAGCCGAGAAAGAGAGATAAGTTTAGTCTGGTGAGCCAGAAGAGGGAACTACTTTTATTGGCACAGAAATTGTAGAAGTTTGGTTCCTTCCTGCATGATTCCATAACATTAGAAGTTGATGTAGGTGGAGTTCATGCTCTGCTTCCTTCCCAGGCCAGCATTTTCCTTTGCAGAAAGTTGCAAATTTCAATTTTATAAAGAGACCATCTTGCAGCAGCACCCACACCGCTAAGGTGGCACTAAGTAAATCCTCAAGTTCTCAGCAGAATTATGCTTATTGCATCCCATCACTGATACTGCAACCCGACATACAAAGGAAAGTCATATGACATTCCAGTTGGAATGGCGATCCACGTTGACGGCAGCAATCCTTTAAGGAGCAATCCTCCACTGGATATGCGGCAGCAATCCTTTAAGGAGCAGGAAACTCAGTTTTCTCTCATTATCTGTGTAATGACAAGAAGATGGAAGCCTATCTCTACGTCAATAAATACTATAGGCACTCACCAATCCACATTCCATCAGAGGTATTCAACTCCTCTAACAAGGGCGCGAAAACGAGTGCCTGTTATCTTAACCCAATAAAACATGACCTCTGCTTTAGGAAAGATGTAAAGTTCAGTATTGATTGGCCATTCAATAATCTGCTCATAATTACTATTATCTTGCTGACTTCATCTCGTTAAGAGGTCAACAATTTTGCGCGCGCACACAAAAATTCTTGCAAACCATGCTGTTTGATTGCCAACTTCATATGTGGGCCAAAAGATCACTCACTCTTGATGTCTAATTTTATAGTGCTTTTTTTCCCAGAGAGGAGGTGGGAGAACAATATTAACAGTCATTAAATTTGATTTTACTTCACCTCTTGATCCTTCAGATTATAAAAAGGCAGAGTCAATGAGAAGTATGCGAGGGTCAGACTGCCTGGAGTTAATTATAATGCTCCAATGATACAAGCCTACACTGCTGTGTCCCACTTAACTCTCTTCCTGTGGGACATCTGCCAGTTTCAGCCTGCTCTTCTCACTCTTTATAGAATTAAAAAGGTTTCCCTTGCATTTCAGCCCAAATGCTCTGCAGTCCTGCAGTCCTGTGATGTGCAGTCAGGGAGAGGCTAAACATGGTTTGGATGGGTCTTCCAGTGATCCTCAATGCTCAGGACTCAGACAATGCATGGCTCAGGGACGTGCAAACAGCATCGCTGAAACCCTGATTTAAAGCCAAGGAGATCTGCCTCAAGAACTTCCAAACTGGGTTAATGATTGGCACTTAATTGCCAGCACCAATGGAAATCCTTGGAGAACAAAATGCAAAGCCAAGACCTCAAAGCATGACTCACTCCAATGGTAGCGTGACTTCCTTACATTTGCTTATCTGACTTGGATTTATGGCATGTCCCTATCCAAAATCTCAAGGGAGGTAAATACAATGTTTTCTTATCTTGGATTTCTGGAGTGACCTTTCATCAGTTACACATGAACATGTGAAGCTGCCGCATACGGAGTCAAACCACAGCTGCAGTTGAATCAGAGAAGACCAGCCGTCGTCAGCCTGGAGCATTCCAGATATTTTGGACTGCAACTCACACCAATCCCAGCCAGCATGGTAAAACTAGGAGATGGCCACCCAAGTATGTGCCCCTGACCAGTACCAAATGCTGGAGCAGGAGCTAAGCCAGAGAACTCAAGCAGGAGCTGGACAAAGGCCCTTGACAGGCAGCGGTTAATATGGGATGGCACCATAGCTCAGTGGTAGAGCATTGGCTTGGCATGCAGAAGGTCCCAGGTCCAAATTCCAGCATCTCCTGGTAAGGATGGGCAAGACCTCTGCCTGAATTCCTGGAGATCCACTGACAGTAAGTGAAAACAATACTGAGCCAGATAGACTAAGAGTCTGGATCATTATAGGACACAGTTCCTATAACCCTGTGAGCTGCCTTGCACTAACAACACAGTACCAAGTGAGAGGCTTATGACCTCACTGCCAACCCCAGCCCTTCCTGGCCATCTGCTAAGTCCTAATTTACAGCTGACTCTTCTCTGATGCCTCCCTCCTCCTGAGGAGACCCCAGGAGAGAAAGCCTCCTGGCAGCCTTAGGTCTCTAATGGGTTCTTCCAAATCCACACCTGTGGAGTGGTACACCTTTTCTTTTAAGGAGGTCATATCCAGGGTCCATGTTGAGAAGGATCCTAATATCCAACAAGGATCTGAATTTGGTACGCCCCAGCTAACCACAAGACCCACTGGCCCTGCCATAACAGCCACCACTTTTTGCCTTTAAAAAGCCAAGAGGTAGTATGGAGATCCTTGTGCGGGGAAAGCAACCTAGAGGATCTATTAGGGAAGTAAACCAACAACAAAAAGCAACTTCAATTTGTGATTTAACAAACTCCTTCCAATGTGTTTTGGTGCCTCTCTAGGCTCCATGTGTCAGGCCTGTTTTGTGAATTACAGGGTGCAACTCATTAAGCACTCCTGAGCTTTCCCTAGATGGGTTAGACCTTTCAGCCCTGGGTTATTGAGAGACATGCCCAGCATTTCAGCAGACCCAAAAGAGCATCAATTCAAGTTCTTGCTTTCACTTTTTGGCTTCAAAAAGGGAAAGGGGTGGGGGGGGGAAGGGTGTGTGTGTGTGTGTGTGTGTGTGAAGCATTCAAACACACCACAGAGAAGGTGTTTTCCTTCCAACAATATGGAGAGAAGCAAGGATGGAAAAGCAGAGGAAAGAGGAAGGAGAAGAGACAACGGTAGGAGTGACTAAAGAACCTGTACAACACTGTGCCGGACATGTTCACAGAGATTATTCCCTTAATAAATGGGTGTAGTTAGTGGTCTCATCGTGAGCTGTGCTTGTGGGTACCCTCCCAGGAGGCAAATGAGCCCACAAGACACACTAGCACAAGACACAGTGGTGCCCGTTATCTTAAATAGCTTTGGGAAAGGTACACAGAAACTTTCTGCTTGTTCCCGGGGCAAGCAGAAACCATGCCATTCACCCTTTTTGTAGTGAAGGCTGGTGGGCTGCTACTCCACAGGGTTCCAGCGGCTACAATTTTGGCTCAGCTAGTAAAGTGAACTGTGAATCCCCCTCTCTCTTATTGATGGCACAATGGTTTCTCCATACACAAAAGTAACATATTCCAGAAGCACCTTTTCGAAACAATGCAATGGACTGGTGGACAGGATTCAGTCCTGCTGGTTTTATTGTCTTGGAAAAACACTTCTCTGCAGACATACCCTCCAAGTTCTTCTGCCATCTTATCACGCAACCAACAACTCTGGTGGGAAAAGGCATGCAAAACAAACAGTGGTCTTACCTAGTGCGATTTTTCTAGAAAAAGAGGTGCCAAACTCACCATGAACACCGCCCCTGTTTTCTTATCATGGCAAAGCGGCACACCTGAGTGGTGCTGGAACTGAGTTCTGGTGAGTTCCAGCTGGGGGGGAAGCCCTGGTCTTCCACCTGTGTCCCCCCCCTCTACTTGCAGGTGTCCTCATCGCCGCCACCCTTAATAATTAGATTGCAACACGTTCCTTCAAAATGGCTTATAATGAATGAAAAGATTGCTTGGGAAGAGAAATCGAAAGGTTTATAGGTGTGGAACGAAGGAAATCAAAGCAAGAGAGGGATGGGAAAGGAAAGACACACACAGAGAGAGAACTCAGCAAAAAGATAAAGCAAGACTCCACCAGACCCTCCATTTTTGGCCAGTCATCTTTCCAGACAGCTTGACTTGCGCTTTATAATCAAATCTTGCCACTCATGTTATTTCATAGTTTACACATTCTGTTCGGAGGTGGCGGGTGGGAGGAAGAGACAGACTTCTCTGACGCCAAGACATCAGTGTTCAAAGAGCGTAATGCCATACTTAGGAAGGGAGAGAAATCAATAGCTGTTGCACCTTTTCCCGGTAAGATCACGACTCTGTTTTAGGAGGGGGGGGGGAGCTTTCTGAAATGTAGCCTTAACAAACAGAACATTGCTCAACCGTTCCAGAGGCAAGTGTCATAAACAAGCAGGCACATGGCAAACATATTGATTTCCTCAACCTTATCACACGGCAACCACTGCTCAGTTACCAAGCTACTTTAATATGTAATTTACTGTGAGGAGAGAGAACAAGGAGGAGGGTGCCTGAAATATTTACTGTAGAAACTGAAGGGGGGGGGGAGAGAAAAGGCTCAGCTGGTGCCCAGTGTGTAGCTTAGTTGCTGACACTGTATGTGTAAAAGGATGGGAGATGCCAGGCATTGCCATTTGCCAGTTTTCACCAGTGGTTAAATGTTTTCCAACATAGAAGCAGGGGTGGGCAAATCAATCCGTTTTGGTTTCTCTCCATTTTTCACTCTTCCGCCCTTAAATTCAGCGTTCCACATTTCTACATCAGTTTGCATTTTTTAAAATTCCTCATTAAAATTCAGCAGCATTTTAGTGTGAAATTACTCTGATAATACACATTTTCAAATGCAACAGGCATGTTTTTGAGCAAGGTTTCCCCTAATATAATGCATTTTCTCTATGCGTGTATAATGCATTTTCACCAATATGTGCATTTTTATACGCACTAGTATGTGCATCTTTGTACACATAACTTCACTGATTGGTCATTTGAGTTTACTTATATGCTGCTTTTCTGCAAACAGCTGTGCCCAAAGTGGCGAACAGCACTGCAAAATTCGGGGAAGTGTGAATTTTGAGGGATGGCTATGTTTTCATTTGAACGTAAGACAGTGATGGCCAAACTTGGCCCTCCAGCTGTTTTGGGACTACAATTCCTATCATCCCTGACCACTGGTCCTGTTAGCTAGGGATGATGGGAGTTGTAGTCCCAAAACATCTGGAGGGCTGAGTTTGGCCATCACTGACGTAAGAAGAGCCTGCTGGACCAGGCCAATGGCCCATCTGGTCCAGCATCCTATTCTTACAGTGGCCAACCAGATGTCACAACTGGGAAACCTGTAAGCAAGACCAGAGCATCCTCCTGTCCTGTGGTTTCCAGCAACTGGAATTCAGAAGCATTCTTGCCTCAACTGTGGAGGCAGAGCATAATCATCAAGCTTTTGAATTTGCCCAGTCCTCTTTTAAAGCCATCAAGTCTGGGGCCGCCACTGCTTCTTGTGAGAGCAAGCTTCATAGTTTAACTATGTGCTAGGGAGACGGGTGGTGCTGTGGGTTAAACCACAGAGCTTAGGACTTGCCGATCAGAAGGTCGGCAGTTCGAATCCCCACGACGGGGTGAGCTCCCGTTGTTCTGTCCCTGCTCCTGCCAAACTAGCAGTTCGAAAGCACGTCAAAGTGCAAGTAGATAAATAGGTACCACTCTGGCAGGAAGGTAAACAGTGTTTCCATGCGCTGTTCTGGTTCACCAGAAGCGGCTTAGTCATGCTGGCCACATGACCCGGAAGCTGTATGCTGGCTCCCTTGGCCAATAAAGCGAGATGAGCGCCGCAACCCCAGAGTCATCCGCGACTGGACCTAATGGTCAGGGGTCCCTTTACCTTTATGTGAGGAAGTCCCTTTTTTTGCCTGCCTGAATCTTCCAAGCTTCAGCTTCATTGGATGAGCACAAGTTCTTGTGCTATGAGAAAGGGAGAAAAACTTCCCTCTTCCCACTTCTTCCACGCATAATTTCATACACTTCAACTATGTCGCCTCTCGCCTTTTCTCTAAGTGAAACAGTCTCAATATCCTTTTAGTGTATTAGCTGCCCTGGTATAGAAGCCCGCTTGAGGCTATTGTATGCAGAAAGATGGAACACAAATCAATAAACTAAGTGTATTATTATTGTTGTTATTATTATTCATTCTGTTCCTTTGTCACTTTCCTCACAAAAGGTGACCTGAGGTGACTTACATTGAAACCAGTTAACACAAACACAACCAACAAAAGCCTTAACTATGCATCTATGCAGAGAAAATATCTCTGTGAGCTCTTAAAGTTGAGATGGGCCAACATCGCACAGGTGCCATCAGCTGGTGCTGACTTTCTCAAGTGATGAAAATACACCTATGAACCTCACTTTAGTGGCGCTGTGGTCTAAACCACTGAGCCTCTTGGGCTTGCCGATCAGAAGGCTGGAGGTTCAAATCCTCACAATGGAGTGAGCTCCCGTTGTTCTGTCCCAGCTCCTGCCAACCTAGCAGTTCGAAAGCATACCAGTTTGAGTAGATAAATAGGTACCGCTGTGGCGGGAAGGTAAACGGCATTTCTGTGCACTCTGGTTTCCATCACTGTGTTCCAATGCACCAGAAGCGATTTAGTTATGATGGCCACATGACTCAGAAAGCTGTCTGTGGACAAATGCCATTTCCCTTGGCCTGAAAGAGAGATGAGCGCCACAACCAAATAGTTGCCTTTGACTGAACTTAACCATCCAGGGGTCCTTTACCTTTACCTTTTTACCTAGTTCTAGGGAAACTGGGCCCACCTTCCTCCTCCCAGCTGTTGCAATCGCCCATTCTCTTCTTCTCCCCTTCCTCTGGTCCTAAGCCAAACAACTTCTCCCCAAAAATGCCATCCAAATCTAAAGCACCTCATCCCAAAAATCCACCATTGATGGTTCGCTCTGCTGCTGCTGTTGAAGCAGGAAGAGGACTCTTCCCAGATCTGCTCCTGAGGATCTACCTGTGTAGGTCTTGGGCAGATCTCCAGAAACACCATCCACTCCTTGGTTACACAGGGAACTTGGCAGTACCTCTGGGGCAAAGGCACATTTAGCAGATGACTGCCTCTACACACAGCAACACATCAAAAACGAAAACAAATCCTGTCCTTTGGATGCTGCTTGTTTGTTGTGACTGGTTAGATATGCAT